GGGACATAGCTTTAAATTGAGGGGTGATAGATATAGGACAGATGTCAGAGGTAGGTTCTTTACTCAGAGAGTAGTAAGGCGTGGAATGCCCTGCCTGCAAAAGTAGTAGACTCGCCAACTTTAAGGGCATTTAAATGGTCATTGGATAAACATATGGATGATAATGGAATAGTGTAGGTTAGATGGGCTTCAGATTGGTTTCACAGGTCGGCGCAACATCGAGGGCCGAAGGGCCTGTACTGCGCTGTAATGTTCTATGTTCTAAAGTAGAACTTATACAGTGAATGCTGAGGTCCTCAGGAGTGTTGTGGAACAGAGGGACCTAGGAGTACAAGGACATAGTTCGTTGAAAACTGCATCACAGGTGGACAGGATGACGAAGAAGGCATTCAGCATGCTGGCAGTCATTGGACGAGGCATTGGGTATAGGAGTTGGGATGTTACATTACAGTTGTATAAGTTGTTGGTGAGGCAGTACTTGGAGTATTGTGTACAATTTTGGTCTCCCTGTTGTAGGAAAGACATAGTTAAACTAGAAAGTGTACAAAAAAGATTTGAGGATGTTGCCAGGACTAGTAGGCCGGAGTTATAGGGAGAGGTTGGCCAGGACAGGACTTTATTCCTTGGAATGTAGGAGAATGAGGGGTGACCTTATTGAGGTGTATAAATTCATGAGGGACATAGATAGGATGAATGCATATAGTCGTTTTCCCAGGAAAGTGAGAGGGGAAAGATTTAAGAAGGACTTGAGGGGCAACTTCTTCATGCACAGTGTGGTACATATATGGAATGGGCTGCCAGAGAAAGTAGTTGAGGCAGGTACAATAGCAACACTTAAAAAACATTTGGATAGGTACATGGATGAGAAGGGTTGAGAGGGATAGGGACCAAATGCAAACAATTGGAACTGGCTGAGTGGGCACCATGGACGAGTTTTTTGGGCTGAAGGGCCTGTTTCCATGCTGTATTACTCTATGACTCTATGAGAAACAGTTAACAATGAGTCTGGCATGGCTGTTCTTCAGAAATGAGCTTCAGAACTCCAAAGCTTGTATGCCATCTAGAAGACACAAGTCAGGAGTGTGATGGAATACTCCCTACCTGCCTGGTGAGTGCAACTCCAACATTACTCAAGTAGCTTGACATCATCCAGGATAAAACACATTTGATTGACAAATCACAATCATCCATTTCCTCCACCACCAATGTTCAGTACTGTCTATGAGATGCACTGTACAAATTCACCAAAGATTACTAGACAACACCTTACAAACTCACAACCACTATCATCTTGAAGGACAAGGTAGCAAACACATGGGAACACTTCCAAATCACTTGCCATCCTGATTCGGAAATATGTCACAACTCCTTCAGTGTCACTGGGTCAAAATCCTGGAATTTTCTCCCTAAGGTTCCACCTACAGCAGTTCAAGAAACCACCTTCTCAGAGACTACTCAGGACAGATAATAAATGCAGGCCCAGCCAGAGCCACCCAAGTGAACAAAAATATTAGAACAGGTCAGGAAGTCAGAATGTCATTATGGATTAACCTCATGTTTAAAACACGTTTTTAAAAAATTCAGAGCACATGTGCAGCATGCAAATGCAGTCATCTGGATGCATTGTCCCTCCAACTGGTCCCCAACATGGTTCTGCTCCCTATTTACATGATGTTTCCACCACCTTGTGGTACCGTTTGTCTCTCTGTGGCGCTGCCAGTGAGTCCTCCATGTCAATGTGTTGCGAAGGTGAAGACCCCCTATTAATTGGCATCAATTTGCAAAACGAAGCTGGTATATACAATGCTGAAAAGTGTGGATCCAGAAGGTGCCTGCTGTGGGGTGCCAGATGCCCACGCATGGGATCTGCAAAGACCTCAGACGTGTGAATCAGGTTCCTAACATGAAAATGGTCCCGAAGAAAAGTCAATCCAGTCAACCTGAAACATGAAATAATGTGGTGTAGAGCTGGATGAACACAGCAGGCCAAGCAGCATCAGAGGAGCAGGAAGGCTGACATTTCGGGCTTAGACCCTTCTTCAGAAATGGGGGAGGGGAAGGGGGTTCTGAAATAAATAGGGAGAGAGGGGGAGGCGGATAGAAGATGGATAGAGGAGAAAATAGGTGGAGAGGAGACAGACAGGTCAAAGAGGCAGGGATGGAGTCAGTAAAGGTGAGTGGAGGTGGGGAGTTAGGGAGGAGACAGGTCAGTCCAGGGAGGACGGACAGGTCAAGGGGGCGGGATGAGGTTAGTAGGTAGGAGAGGGAGGTGGGGCTTGAGGTGGGAGGAGGGGATAGGTGGGAGGAAGGACAGGTTAGGGAGGCGGGGACAAGCTGGGCTGGTTTTGGGATGCGGTAGGGGGAGGGGAGATTTTGAAGCTTGTGAAGTCCACATTGATACCATTGGGCTGCAGGGTTCCCAAGCGGAATATGAGGTGCTGTTCCTGCAACCTTCGGGTGGCATTGTTGTGGCACTGCAGGAGGCCCAGGATGGCCATTTCATCTGAGGAATGGGAGGGGGAGTTGAAATGGTTCGCGACTGGGAGGTGCAGTTGTTTAGTGCGAACCGAGCGTAGGTGTTCTGCAAAGTGGTCCCCGAGCCTCCGCTTGGTTTCCCCGATGTAGAGGAGGCCACAACGGGAACAGCGGATACAGTATACCACATTAGCAGATGTGCAGGTGAACATCTGCTTGACGTGGAAAGTCTTCCTGGGGCCTGGGATGGGGCAGAGGGGGGAGGTGTAGGGGCAGGTACAGCACTTCCTGCAGTTGCAGGGAAAAGTGCCGGGTGTGGTGGGGCTGGAGGGGAGTGTGGAGCGGACAAGGGAGTCCCGGAGAGAGTGGTCCCTCCGGAAAGCAGATAAGGGTGGGGAGGGAAAAATGTATTTGGTGGTGGGGTCGGATTGCAGATGGCGGAAGTGTCAGAGGATGATGCGTTGGATCCGGACGTTGGTGGGGTGGTACGTGAGGATGAGGGGGATTCTGTTTTGGTTGTTATTGCAGGGATGGGGTGTGAGGGATGAGTTGCGGGAAATGCAGGAGACACGGTCGAGGGCGTTCTCGACCACTGAGGGGGGGGAAATTTGCGGTCCTTGAAAAACGAGGACATCTGAGATGTACGGGAATGGAATGCCTCATCCTGGGAGCAGATGCGGCAGAGGCGAAGGAATTGGGAATAGGGGACGGCATTTTTGCAGGAAGGTGGGTGGGTGGGAGGAGGTGTATTCTAGGTAGCTGTGGGAGTCGGTGGGCTTGAAAATGGATATCGGTTTCCAGGTGGTTGCCAGAGATGGACACAGAGAGGTTCAGGAAGGAGAGAGAGGTATCAGAGATGGTCCAGGTGAACCACTTTCTCTGGGACTCCCTTGTCCGCTCCACACTCCCCTCCAGCCCCACCACACCCGGCACTTTTCCCTGCAACCGCAGGAAGTACTACACCTGTCCCTTCCACACCACCCCCAACCCCCCATCCCAGGCCCCAAGAAGACTTTCCACATCAAGCAGATGTT